AGTGAGTTATATATTACATTCTGGCAAGTATGGTGCATCATATCTTTAAGGTTTACCGGTGTGGGAACGGAATCACTCCTCCAGTGTTTAGTGATAAATGTTTTTATTGCCAGGAAGAAAAACGAGGTTAGATTCTGACACGGCTGAGGGAGTGAGGTTAAGAAATTGTTTAAGACTGACACCACTAGTGTAAATGGAATCTTAATGAATAAAATTAATTTCAAATAAACCATATATAGCCCTCTATGCTGGGGAAATGCATGAACACAACACAACATGTAATAAGGATCCCACCCTCTTCAGTTACACCAGCAATTAATGTTCAAACTCAAGGAAATCGGTCTAGATGAAAATGCTTGTTCTTGGGTAGAACATTGGCTTAAAAACAGAGTACAAAGAGTTGTTATTAATGGTAAATTTTAAAGCTGGACAGAGGTGGCAAGTGGTGTCCCTCAGGGGTCTGTTCTGGGACCCCTTTTATTTAACATGTTTATAAATGATCTTGAAGACAGCATTGAAAGTCATGTTTCAGTGTTTGCAGATGACACAAAACTCTGTAAAATAATACAATGTGAGCAAGATATTACTTGCCTTGCGGCTAACAGACATGCTGGGCGCTGGGCGCTGGGCGCTGGGCGGCTGGCGAGGGAGCTCTTCCCCTGAGCTGACTGCTCAGCTCCCTCGCGCGCCGCAGAGTGAGGCTGGGAGCCGGAATATGACGTCATCAACCCGGCTCCCAGCCTCACTCTGCGGCGCGCGAGGGAGCTGAGCAGTCAGCTCAGGGGAAGAGCTCCCTCGCCAGCCGCCAGCCCAGCAGCCACTGGACCACCAGGGAGAAAGAGGAACCTCCCCCAGCACTCCCAAAGGTAAGGAGGCTGGGGGGGTTAAATAAAAAGAAAACATTTTTTTGATGTGAGTGTGTGTGTGTGTGTGTCTGACTGTGTGTTTGTGTCTGACTGTGTGTGTGTGTCTGACTGTGTGTTTGTGTCTGACTGTGTGTGTTTGTGTCTGACTGTGTGTGTGTCTGACTGTGTGTTTGTGTCTGACTGTGTGTGTTTGTGTCTGACTGTGTGTGTGTGTCTGACTGTGTGTTTGTGTGTGTTTTGTGTCTGACTGTGTGCGTGTGTGTGTGCGTGTGTTTGTGTCTGGACTTGTGTGTGTGTTTTTCTGTCTGACTGTTTGTGTGTGTGTGTGTGTGTGTGTGTCTGACTGTGTGCGTTTTGTGTCTGACTGTGTGTGTGTCTGACTGTGTGTTTGTGTCTTCAGACCGTGTGTGTGTCTGGACTGTGTGTTTGCGGGTCTGACTGTGTGTGTGTGTGTGTGTGTTTGTGTCTGACTGTGTGTGTGTGTGTGTGTGTTTGTGTCTGACTGTGTGTGTGTGTGTGTAGTTTGTGTCTGACTGTGTGTGTGCGTTTGTGTCTCTGGTGTGTGTTTGTGTTCACCGTGTGTGTTTCAGTCTGACTGTGTGTGTGTGTGCCTGACTGTGTGTGTGTGTGCCTGACTGTGTGTGTGTGTGTGTGTGTGTGTGTGCCTCACTGTGTTTGTGTCTGACCGTGTGTGTGCGTCCGACTGTGTGT